TCGCACTGTGGGTGGGATTCGTCGCCGAACAACAGGCGAACTAATGTCATGGTGGCCAGGATAGAGGGGGCGACCTTACGGCCTCGGCCGAACGCCCAGTAGCCATAAAAGATGATGGAGTTCCACACAACGATGAGAATGGCCTGCAGAGTTAGTGAGCTTTGACTCAGCCCGGATACCTTCTAATAGTCTGCTGTATGGTGGTGACGCACCGTGCTGATGGTTAGCTTGAACTCTACATCGAAGAGGGCGTCGATGTAGATGGACAAGGACATGATTGCAATGCCATTGGCACTGCTGATGGCGCGCACAACATGCTGCCCCAGATGAATTGGATCTGGCTCCATGATGCGGATGCGGACTCAAATCAAAGTGAGTGTTGCTCTGGTTGATGGCACGAATCTGGATTTGGCACGAGGAGGACGTGACCGGCGGCACTGAATTGGGCTGTCCCCTTAAATAAATCACCACTGATCAGGCTCACGCCTCTCATTTTAGAATCCATTGCTTGCAGCCACGACACAATGCTGTGCAGTCAGCCCTTCGCAGCCCATTCGTTCAAACCCGACTACAAGACGCCCTGCCAGGGGTCTCAGGGTCTGCAGGGCTGGTCTTCAATCAGCCTTGGCCAATGGCTGTGCCGGGCAGACCGGAGGCCGTCGAGAAAAGGCGAGACCCCTGTCAGGCACCAACGCTCAGGATATCCTCATTGAGGATCGCGGGGTTTCGAATTTGGATGCGAATCTTGCACCGCGAAAACCTACTACTGACTTGTTTCTATCATTTCTAGTGTCTCAGAAGCGAATTTCGAGTAGTACAACTCATACGTGATGATGAGGAGAGTAAAGCGCGCGCCTTGCTTCCCAAGCTCAACATGGGGCGCCAAATTGGCGGCAAGTCAAGAGCTACAGACAGCTCTTGAGAATCTCAAGAGGCCATCAACCCGCAATCGGCACGATGTTACACCGCTGCTGACCATAACCTGCAGCAAGGGTATTATTCAGTACCAAGATTAGCAAGCATCTGGTGGTCTGCTGGACACACTGTCCCAGTAACAGTTGATCTTGGTCGTGAAGAACGCTACTACCTCAAGGAGCAAAGCCTACATCTCAGAGCCAGATCTGGCCGTGGGGCTTGATTAGGAGGCCCGGGAATAACATGGTGGTACCCTTTGCTCGTCTTAGCCTCATGAACCCGACATGCGCCGTACTGCTCCCAGCGGATCATCGATGCAGTGAGAGCCTTCATAGCTTGAATCATGACTGGAAAGTCAAACTGTTTTCCTGGACGTCACCGTGCCTGACATGTCTCATAGCACCAATCCCGCTTCGACAAAATCTATCTGTTAGCTAGCAGGCAAATCTTGGCAACATCCAACTTCTGCATCCTGAGAGCCGGAGATCTTCATGAGACCAAACTATGGCATGGGACGCAGAGTTATAAGATGCCTCAACTGAAGGATATGTCTGTTGCTTCTCCTATTGTGAGGCGTCAAACTTGCAGAGTCCGAATCGCCAAATCTTGACTCCCGATTTCTTACTCCGATTTCCTACCCCGCAATCCACAACACAGTTACCCCGCAATCTGAGATTCCACGCACGTCAATTGAGACCTCGCCTCAAATCAAGGCCATGAATATGTAAAATTGCTGTTTTGTAGGAGCTCTTGACCGAGATCGGCTGGCAACGCAAGCGAGAGTGTGTAGGGCGCAGGGCGTAGAGAGGCGCTAAGCGTCTACATGCGGTGACTAACTTTCTCTCTTTTTTTCAGGAGGCACCTGGCGAGTCATGGGCCTAGTTCAGAGGCTTGGAATTATGAGAGGACATGTATAAAGGACCACAAGTACCTCTCCTCCACCATCCTCATCCAGAGCATGATCTGGCAGGGCCATCTACCTCTTGACTAAAAATTGAGCGGATAAATCTCGAGCATCGAGATCAATTGTTCATCATGGCGAGACCAGGACGTCTTTCGGCCCGAGGCGACATCCACGCCGAGCCGGCCAGTAGGCCGCCGATGTTGGACGTCGTCTGTGATCTGTGGCATCCCGAGTCCAACCCTGGAGGGTACCTGAGTCTAGGAGTCGCCGAGAACGTGAGTATTTCGTCTGCATGGCGAGGGATCAATGCTCACACAACGCTTGCAGACATTGATGCACAAGGAGATGATTGAGTACATGAAGAAGACCGTAAGACATCTCCTCCAGGTTCCCTGGCCTCAAGCCACCATGTCGCTCATGCGGTCATATAGTTCAACATTGAGAGCCACTTCCTCACCTACGGAGATGGCTTCACCGGCAGCCATCTCCTCCGCGAAGTTGCGGCCAATTTTATCAATGAGCGTTTCCGCCCAGTCAACCAGGTGCTCAAGAAGCATGTTTCCATCACATCGGGTGTGGGCCCGGCCCTGGAGTTGAGCTCGTTCTCGCTTTGCGACCCTGGAGATGGCATTCTACTGGGGCGGCCATACTACGGCACATTTCCTAGTGATATGGGAGCCAGGGCAGGGTATGGTTCCATCTTTGCGCTTCCCGAACATCAGGCGCAGAGCATCAGATTACGAGAATTGCAGGCTAATGCTAAATCAGGGCGCAAATAGTTGCAGTATCATTCGGGGAAGTTGATCCCCTCAGCGAAGAAGCCATCCCCTTTTATGAGCAGGCGCTGCTGGATGCAAAGGAAAGAGGTATCACCACCAAAGCGTTAATCCTCTGCAATCCCCATAACCCACTTGGTGAGTGATGCCCCAGAGAGCCATGCCTCGTACAAAGACACCCCGCCATTGATCTATTGATGAACATGAAGGCTGACAGCTCATCGCTCAGGCCGCTGCTACCCTCGCAGCGTCATTGAAGGTTACATGCGACTTTGCCAGACGTACAGCCTCCATCTGCTCAGCGACGAGATCTACGCGCTTTCGATTTGGGATAACCCCGACGCGGCCGATGCTCCCGGTTTCACGTCAGCCCTGTCGATTGACACGACAAACCTCATCGATTCAGATCTGGTACATGTTCTCTGGGGAATGAGCAAGGTAGAGACTTTCGGAAATTGGCGTCCAATTTTCAAGCTGACAAAATGGCAGGATTTCGGCTCCAATGGCATCAGATTGGGATGCATCATAAGCACAAACGAGCCATTCCAGCAGGCAGTCGAAGCGAACGCTTACTGGACGTGTCCATCAGCGCTGACGGACCAAGCGACGGCCAAAATCTTGGCTGATACAGCCTTTGTCGACTCCTACGTCGCAACGAACCAGGCACGTCTTGCGGCTAGCTATGCCGTCACCACCCGCTTTCTGAGGGAAAATGATGTTCCCTACGAGAAAGGGCGGCAATGCCGGCTTCTTCGTGTGGATCGATCTGTTCGCGTGGATGAAGAAGAACGTCGAGATCAATTGTCGGAAGCCGAGCTGTGGGGCTCTGGGAGGCCCAGCTGCAGGAGACCTTGCTGAAGAACCGTGTTTTTCTGGCTTGCGGTAAAGCATTTGGTAGTGACGTGGCTGGGCGGCTTCCGCATTGTCTTTGCACATGAGAAGGAGTATTTGGAGGAGGGACTCACGAGGATGTTGAACACAGTTCAGTCCTTCAGCCAGGGCTTACAGAATAAGTAGCAAAAGGCTCCTATTGGTGATTGTTTATAGACCTTTCCCGAGCCTGATGCCAAGGAAAAACCTGGCGCGTCCTATGATCAGCGAACTTGCATAGACCTGCCACAGAGTCCGAGATCTCATAACTGGCGTCTATCCATGCGAAACCTCTCACTGATGAAACCAAGAGCAGTCCAGAAACCACAAAGGCTACGTCGCTAAAGATCATCACGACGCATCAAACGCAAACTAGGCCCAAGTCCTTATTTTAACGCCCGAGACGCCCTCTTTACGCAAAAGAACAAGAGCAAACTATATCAAAGAGTGGAGAACGTAAGAACTTGACACGATGCAGGCAGCGTCGTTATGACCTCCTCACACAAGTAAGCGTTCATTATTGAGGCATAGCTAATCCCAAGTACGGTATGCGTTGTATATACAAGCACTCCATGTCAACGCAAAGAGCGGAATTCTCACCTGCAGCGCGTCACATTCGGCCGAAAGGACGCGGCACAATCAAAGCTGCGCGCATCGTTCGGGTCTGACGCGCCGTCATACCGCGGGACCAGCGGATACGGACAGATGATTCTCTCAGCCTCCTCGCCATCGAGGTTCTTCATGGTCCCGCTCAGACGCCCCGGATCCTCAGCTTTCTCAACCCAGGCCACCAGCGCATCTAAGACTTTCCGCGGCGTGGCGCCAGCCTCGCCTTCGCAGTGCCCGACGCCGGGCGCCAGGTAGAACTTGTAGAAGTCGTCCACAAGATCCGCTCCGCCCATGACAGCCTCGACCTGCTCGCGGTACCGAATGGTGTTGTTGATCATGATGAGCTGGTCGGCCGTGCCGTGCCAGCTGATGAGCTTTCCGCCGGCGTCCCTGAAAGCAGACAGATCCGGGTTGTTGGACCCGATGATGCTATCGTACGTGCCCGGTGCCACGGCAAAGAGATCGGTCATATCGTCAATAGCCGTGAGAGTCGAGACGTCAAAGTCGACGTCCTTTTCAATAAAGTACTCGATCCAGGAGTCGACGAGTCTGTCCATAGCCTCTGGAATGCCGCTGACAGCGGCTGGAACCAGGCCGAGGTAGTTGATGCCCCAGTCATGACCATCCCACAACTTCCTGCCCCTGCTCGACTTGGGACCCTCGCGAATCATCGTCGCGATCGTTGCATCCTCCTTGGTGATGACTTGAGTCGTCTCGTCCATGCACTTCACCTTCTCGCCAACGAGAGAAGAAGGGTCAAAATGGCAGGCATTCGGGTCCGATATGACGCCGTCTTTGACGCCGTCAAGCACGTCGCACGCATCGACACTCCCAGCGGTAAACGCCTGCATAGCACAAAAGGTCGGCGTATGGCCGGTGACTCGCATAGCGTGCCGGCCCCAGCCCAAAGCCAAGACGAAGCTAGACCAGTGCAGAGCCGGAGCGTTGGCCAATATGCCATCAAAGTCCTCAGGGTATCGCTGAGCTAGCTCATATCCCTGCCGCCCACCTGTGGAGCAGCCAGTCCAGTATGAGTAAAAGTCGGTGGTTTCGTAGAACCTTGTCGTCACGGCCTTGCCGACGACAGCTACCTCGTGCAGTGCGCGGTGGGCAAAGTTGGTGAGGCGTTCGAGGTCAAGAACTCCTGGCTTGAGGAAGAGAGCCGGATCTGGATTGTTGGCTCCGTCGCCAAAGGCGCTTCCGTCCGTCGCGGCGGCAGCGTAGCCGTCCTTGACGGCTAGGCCCAGTGTGTCCAGGCTGTAACGACCAGCCTGCAGGCCGCCGCCGCCGACTCCCTGAAATCTGCCATTCCATTGCTTCAGGGGAAGCCACACCCAGATGGTGACCTCGTCGTTTGCGCCGGGATGGGTGAGAGTCACATTCACCTCGCAGAAGTCCAGTGGCCCGAGGGTAGTGAGCTTCTGGTTCTCGGCATCCCAAGCCGGCCCGGTGAGGTCCAGGCGAAGTTCAGACTTGACTGATAGGACCTCAGCACCTGGAATTTCAGGAATCGATATGGACTTGCATGCATCGGAAGGCTGGCGCAGATGAAGATTGTGGCCTGCAGTAGGCTGGACGCCTAGGGAAGCCAAAGCTAACAGGTATGAGAGAGGCTGTGAGAGAATCATGGTCGAAAACAATGGGAGGGGTTACGTCTTGTGCATACTGAGAGACGAAGCTTCCTTCGGTCGATTGTATCGTGGGCCTCGGTCATTCCCGCTGTCAACCCATCCCCATCGTAGGACTTATAGCATAATCGAATGCCTATCTCTCTCTCTCAGGATTTCAGGTTTGAATCGCGAGACGTCTGCGATGGACGCAAGCCGGAAAAGAACTTGCTCTATATCCCTCAGGAAACCGATTAATATATCAAAAGGATGCGATCCGCTGCAGAAATATAGTGCGGATGAAACATTCCTGGCCGTGGCGGCTCCCTAAGGGATATGTCAGACATGGCGCCCTGCAGATCTCTCTTTTTTGTGGTCAGTCACAGCACGATGCGTCAACATTAACCCCATCAAGGACGAAGAATGAGAAAATGAAACTTATTCGATGAGCAGAGTAAGCTGAAGGCGTGATGTGTGAGATATCGGAAGCCTAGTCTGAGAAATTGATAGATCATCTTGTCTTGGCGTTGCTACTTGCAGTGACAAATGGCCATGATGTTGGTTCCCGTGTCCGATTCATGTTCGGAGACGACGCTCCGAAGGGAGGATCCCGCCCCGCCAGGCGAACCAGCGCTCAAAGGAAGTCGATGACGCGCCGTCTCCGCATGTTGTTTTTAGGCGCAATTCATTAACAGCGTTTGGATGGATGCTACGCTGACCACCAACGGCTCACACGCGACCCCATCATGTAAGGTGGCTGCCCATCTTCTATTCATCACGAGCGCTCTCAAGTTGGCTTCCGGACACCGGGGGTCGACCTTAGCTTCGTTCATTGCATGCACTGAATGTTCTAGAGATGTGTCGTCTGCCTGTCGCCCGTCCTGGGTATGATGGCTCTGACTCTGGGCCAGGAGTTGTCAACGTGGCCGTGGGCTTGAGGTTCCAGGTTCAGTTGGTGCCTGCAATTAAGCACGGGTTAGTCCCACCAGGACATTATCCCTCCCAGCTCATCACTAGGCGAATAGATTGGTCATGAGAGGATGAGACCTGTGTTTTGAAGACGTAACCTCCGAAATTGGGACGATCATCACCGGTGCCGATAACAGGGCCCGGCCCCACATTCGGCACGGAGCGTTCGTGGATTACCACTCCTGAGGCAACAGCCAAATCGTGGTTCTGACTCGGTGATCCTCGGCAATCTTGAGTTGCAGGTCTCGTTCCTAGGCGGTCCCATGCCATTCGTCAAGAAACATATTGGACATGAAGAGTGTCAAGAAATGGCTTCTCCCAAGACCCGAAGATGAGATGCTCGAGCTTGACGCCTGACGGATTTTGCGCCGTTCGTTTCGGATCAGAGACAGTCGGCCTAAACATTCATATACACAACATGTGAAGACATGGATGGGGGGAAAGCGTCCAAGCGCTGCTAGGTGTCGATCACACCTCGGACGACGGTGAGATGGTCGGAGCTGTTGGCTGGCTACGGCCCAGGGAGGTCTTGACTCCTGCCTCCCCGAGCTCCCCGAGGGAGAATGACGATGCAGCAGAATCGAGGCGATGAGAAGATGGAGGGCATTGGATGATGCGTTGTCGGCGATGATCAGCCTGATGTCGTGGCAGCCTGACGAAGGAAGGTCAAGTCGAGCCTGACCGCCTTGGGCGTGAGGCGACGTGGTTGGGCGAGCCTGCCAGCCCGCCAGCCAGTCGGCCAACCATGCAGGCATGCGTTGTCTGGGTTGGGTGGGTTGCGTTGTGTGCGAACGTGCTGCCAGATGCAGGCATTGGATGCATGAACGATATGTATGTTCGAAGCCTCACTCTGCACATCATGTGAAATATGCTCTCGGGCAGACCGAGGTGAGGTGGATAGACGGCAGATGGGCTTCATCTCGCGTTGGGTGGGCGGGTTGGAGGTGGTCGTGGTGGTAGTGGGGGTCCCGTGTGAGGGCGAGAGAGGGAGAGAGAGAGAGAGACGTCAAATGTCAAGAGATGCCGAGTCAAACGTCGGTGTATGAAGATGACTAACAGCGGCCAACGGCGGCGTTAAGTGGTTGCAGCTGCCAGCTGCAGCACCATGGGCGGCGAGATGGGCGGCTAGGCGTTCACGCTAGGAGCGCTAAGACAACCAGGGGTCCAGGGGGTGCGGCTTCAGGGCGTTTTGGGCAGCTCCAGCGGGTTCGGCGGGTTGGAAAAGGCTTGGGTGCCCCGTCCTCGAGGGGGGCTCTAGGCCTCTAGCTGCCAATAACTCTGGTCGGTTCAGGTGATGTGGTGGGGCGGACGCTCAGGGTCCCTGTCGTCTTTTCGACAGCTCATTTTGTCACCGAGTGAACGGCGGAACCGCTACACCCAGCAGCAGGACGCCCCCATGATGCGCAAGAAAAAAAAAACATCACTGGGGTGCAAACTTCCACGACCCGCCGCCGCTTTCCCTTTCCTCCTGCATCTCTTCTCTCTCAAATCCCTCGCCTTCCTCCCCTCGCAAGCTTTCATAGCAACTGCGTGGTTCATCCATTCCTGGTTGGCAATTCCTTCATCTCCTTGCAAACCAAACCACCTCTTGTCCCCCCCTCCTAGCCTTTGGCTTGCCCACACCGCCTCTCCTCCTCTTCCTCCTCCCCCCCGCACACACGATGGGCAACGTCGTCTCCGCCATCTCCGGCAGCAGCCAGGGCCAGATCGAATCCCGCAAGGCAGAGCTCGAGGGACAAGCTCGCCGACCGCGAGTCCACCATCACGGTGCTCGAGAAGGACCTGTCCCAGAAAGGAGAAGGAGTACACAACCCTCTCCAGCGAGGCCGAGGACCTGCGCCTCAAGATCAAGGAGCTGTCCGACAAGTCGACCTCGACCGAGCAGGAGACCCAGATCCGCATCGGGAAGCTGCAGTCAGAGCTCGAAGCCACCAACTCCAAGGCCGCCGAGGGCTCCGCCGCCCACGCTTCCGAGCTCGAGGCCGCCACCAAGCAGCTGACCCGCCTCCAGGAGGAGCTCGACAAGCTGCACCTCGACAAGAAGACGCTCGCCGACGACGTCGCCAGTCTGAACAAGCAGCTCGCCTCGGCCAAGGAGGAGCGCGATACCCTCGAGGCCTCGCTCCGTGACGAGATCACCTCGCTCCAGACCCGTCTCGCCGACGCCGAGACGAGCCAGGGCGCCCTGAAGGAGGTCCTCAGCAAGCTCGAGGCCGAGGGCGCCACCTCGTCTAAGACGCTCGGCGAAAGGGACGAGGCCTACAAGGCCCTGCAGCAGGTTCTTGACAAGCTCAAGACTGACACGGACGCCCAGCTCGCCACGTCCAAGCAGGACCTGTCGGCGGCCGAGGACAAGTTCAGCACTCTGCAGAAGACCCACGACACCCACAAGACCGAGTCGGAGACGCAGCTGTCTGCTGCCGAGAAGGACCTCGTCGATGCCAACGAGAAGCTGAGTGCCCTGCAAAAGGTCCACGAGACGCTCAAGTCCAGCTCCGAGGCTGACCTCGCCGCCGCCCAGAAGGAGGTTGCCGAGATTCAGGCCAAGCTCAACGCTCTGCAGGAGTCCCAAGGCAAGGCCTCTGCCGATTCCGAGGCTGAGGTCACCGCCACAAAGAAGGAGCTCGCCGAAACCAAGGAGAAGCTTGCTGCCCTCGAGGCATCACAGACTAAGGCCACGGCCGACTCAGAGGCCGTTGTGGCGGCCACCAAGAAGGAGTTGGCCGAGACGCAAGAGAAGCTCGCTGCCCTGCAAGAGGCTCAGACCAAGGACAAGGCTGCTTCCGCCGAGGAACTCGCCGTTACCAAGAAGGACCTTGCCGACACCCAGCAGAAGCTGGCTGCTCTTCAGGAGTCCCAGGGCAAGGCCTCGGCCGACTCCGAGGCTGCCGTTGCTGCCACCAAGAAGGAGCTTGCCGAGACGCAAGAGAAGCTTGCTGCTCTCGAGGCCTCGCAGTCCAAGGAGAAGTCTGCCTCTGAGGAGCAGCTCGCCGCCACCAAGAAGGAGCTCGTTGACACTCAGAAGAAGCTCACCGACTTGCAAGAGTCTCAGACTCAGGAAAAGTCGGCTGCGGAGGAGGAGCTCGCGTCCGCGAAGAAGGAGCTCGCTGCCACACAGGAGAAGCTCGCCGCTCTTGAGGCCTCCCAGTCCAAGGACAAGGCCTCTGCCGACAGCGAACTCGCTGCCGCCAAGAAGAGCCTGGTCGAGTCTGACGAGAAGTACACGACCCTGCAGGCCGCCCACGACAAGGCTCAGGCCGACTCGGCTGGTGAGTCTACCCAGGCCAAGAAGGACCTGGCCGACCTCCAGGCCAAGTTTGCCGAGCTCGAGAAGACCAACGAGGCTCTGAAGAAGAATTCTACTTCCGAGCTCGAGGCCGCCAAGAAGGACTCCGCCACCTGGCAGGAGAAGGCCGAGAAGTCCGAGGCGTCCCAGAACACCCTTACCAAGGATCTGGAGGCTGCCAAGAAGGATCTCGCCTCTACCCAGGATCAGAGCAAGGCCGCCGAGGCCAAGCACGAGTCTGAGCTGCAGAAGGCGCGCGACGAGGCCACCAAGGCCGGTGCCAGCGTCGAGGGCGAGACCAAGAAGCTCAAGGAGGCCCACGAGGCTGAGCTGAAGAAGGTTCGTGACGAGGCTGAGAAGGCCGCCAAGGCCAGCTCAGACAAGGCTACTGCCGACGCTGAGGCTGCGAAGAAGCAGCTGGCGGAAGAGCAGGAGAAGGCTGCCAAGGCTGCTGCCGAGCTCGAGAGCAAGCTTAAGGCTGCCACCACGGAGCAGGAGAAGGCTTCCAAGGCCGCTGCTGAGCTCGAGGCCAAGCTGAAGGCGTCTGATGAGGAGAAGGAGAAGGCCACCAAGGCTATTTCCGAGCTTGAGACCAAGCTCAAGTCTGCGACTGAGGGCCAGGCGAAGGCCACCGGTGAGCTCGAGACCAAGATTCAGGCCCTGCAGAAGGAGCAGGAGGCTGCTGGCGTCAAGGCTAAGGACCTGCAAGAGGAGCACGCCTCCCTGCTGAAGCTTCGCAAGGACGACGAGAGCAAGCTGTCTGCACTCAAGGAGCAGGCCGAGGCTGCCGAGGGTAAGGCCACGAAGGCTGCTAGTGAGGTCGAGTCTCTCCAGAAGGTAAGAGCCCCGAATCCACACGCGTGCTTTCGGTTCCAGGCTAATCGTCAACAGGAGAAGAAGGACCTCGAGACCAAGGCATCCGAGGCTGCCGCCGAGACGGAGAAGGCCACGAAGGCTGAATCTGATCTCAAGGCTCAGCTCGACGTTGCCAAGTCATCACTGACTGCTGCCCAAGACGACAAGAAGATTCTCGAGTCCAAGACTGCCGACCTCACCTCCGAAGCCGACAAGGCTAAGAAGGCCGAGGCGGAGCTCAAGGAATCCCAGTCCAAGCTCCAGTCCCAGCTCGATGAGGCCAAGGTCAGCCTGACCGCCGCCGAATCCGAGAAGAAGGACCTCGAGTCCAAGACGGCCGACCTCGCCGCCTCTGCCGAGAAGGCCAAGAAGGCCGAGGCCGACCTCAAGACCCAGCTTGACGAGTCCAAGGCCGCCCTCGCCGCCGCGGAGAAGGAGACTAAGGCCGCCCTCGACAAGTTCGCCGCCGGCGAGAAAAAGCTCGAGGAGGCCCTCGCCAGCGCCAAGGCCGCCGCTGCCGATGTCAGCGACAAGAAGACCAACGGCGACGCCAAGTCGTCCGTGTCCGTCGAGGAGAAGCCCGTCGAGGAGGGCGAGGCCGCCGCCACGGCGTGATGCGACCCTGTTGAACGCTTGAACGAATTCTCTTTCTAACGGCCCCTTGCTTCATGACAACACAACCCCCCTGCATGAAGATGATGATTTAAATCCCTTGCCCTCACCGGTGAAAAAAAGAGAAGAAAAGGTGGGGGAGAAGGGATTTGCATGACTGGCATGGAGCAACGCACTTCTATTCCGATCGATGATACCTATTTGTCGTTTTTTAATCATAATGCGTCTTTGTGGCAGGGGTTTCCACCCCTGCTCTGTTTTCAACTTCTATTGTCCTCTCGTGCCGTGACTGAGATGTGATGCGAATTCGTGATGAACAGGTCTTTTGCGATAACCATACCCTTTCCAAAATGAAAGTTGAAACATCCCCCTTTTCTTCGCCCAGCCAGATTGCTCGAGCCAGCGAGACACGAGCATGAAACAGGCAAGCCAGGTAGAACTCTGTGATACAATAGTCACGCGGTCAAGCAGCAACAGGGTACAATTTGGACGGATAATCGCATGTAGCATTGAAGACGGCTAGCTCCCTTCGTGATGAGAATACACAATGACGCCATTACCACAAGCCTTTCCCCCAGAGATCACAAGCATGGCAAGGTTATTTGCCAAGCCCGGAAAAGCCGCTCTTCACCTCCGCCCTGGGCCACTCGAACAACGTGTCCCCGTTGTAGACATCAGCCGTCACGCGACTGATGCGCAGTTCCACGTCCCCGTAAAACTTTTCGCACTCCTTGAGCACCTTGGTGACGAGGTTCCGGCTGAGAGCTGGGTCGTCGGCGTCTCCAAAGTGTTTCTCGACACGCTTTCGCAGGGTCTCGATGCCCTTACGGACCTCCTTCGCGTCGTAGTTGCCGACGACCTTGTTGAAGACGCCCCTGGAGTTAGAAGGCTGGGCAGCGATGCTGGTGCCCGGCTTGCCGGAAGCGAGCTGCGCCTCAATGTTCTCGAGGTATTCGAGCAGCTTGCCGAGAGGGCGGCGCATGACGGCACCAATGTAGAGCTGCATATGTTCATCGAGCTCAGCCGTGGCGTTTGCACGCCACTCCTCGAGGACCTCCAGTCCGCGCGCATCCACCTCCTCGAGGAAGTGGTTTGCGTTTTCAATGAGCAGGATATGGAAGTTGAGTGCTTCTTTATCCTCCGAATCAGCCGAGGCGCCCGTGTTGACGGCAACGGCGGGGTTCTCTCTGGCGATGATCTTGAGCGAGTCAAACATGGATTTGAGTATGCGGTCATACTCGCGATCGACAGTGCCGCGAATGTTAAGGTTCTTGTCAACTCCGTTGAGAATGTTCTCCACGGCGGTGGAGAAATTAGGGAAGATGCGGATGAACGAGATGACGCCCTTTCGCTTATTGATCTTGACTTTGGTTTCCTCGATTGCGCGAATCTGCTCATCGACAAACTTCTTGAACCGGCCTTCGAGTGTGCTATGTAGCTTTTGGAGAAGTGTGTTAAGGAAGTCCTGGTTGGTCTGAGAAATTTCAGCCATTTTACGCTCCATAGCAGCGAGCACGCCAACGCCTTGGCTATAAGATGGTTAGCCGATGTTTGCAGAGAAGCAAAAAGAATAGGGGCACATACAGGTTATCTACCGTCAGGACCCATTGAACAAGTCCTGACAGTTCATTCTCCATGAACACGAAGATGACCTCCATAGCCTTGGTAACTCTGCGGGCGAGATCTCGATCAGGCTCCATGAGGCGATGCCTCCTCAAATCACCACCCTGCCGGTCCCTCGGCCTGAAAGCGGCAACAGCGTCCGGGAAGTCTGACTGGTCCAGAGTCGTTGCGTGAAAGAAATCCACGATGAAATTCTGTTCCATCTCGACCAGGGGCAAAATGTCGTCTAGGACGGAACCAAATGTCTCGTAAGGCAGACTTTGGCCTTCGCTTGACTTGAGATTTGATCTGCTACCGTCGAGAGGGCTGCGAAGGGATTTGGCCAAAGTCTGACTACGCTTGACCGTTAATTTCCTTGCAGTCGTGGCGATGCCTTCTTCCTTCTTTTCGGCATGTGACGTGAACAGTAATTCAGAAGTCTCGTCGGACGACATTTTGCGGGCGTTCTTCTTCCATGCCGTCATGATTTGCTGGAATTCGCGTTTGTAAACGGGATGGTTCAAGTCCTGATATAGCTGCAGCAGGCGGTCCCAATTCTTAAGATCGACGTCTCTGGCATACAGGATCAGGGGACTGTACTTCCAAAGGAGGTCTCTGCCGGCATCGTGGTGGTGCGAGTCAACCTTTCGTGACAGTGCTTCTCCGAGCTGGCGGTTCGTCTCGCTCGTTGCCTCTTGGAATTGCCGCGCCATGTATTCGACAAGGCGTCGCATGAATAGAGAGCTCTCTTGCATGTACATCTGCTTCTTCTCCTGGACGATGCGCATTTTACCATAGTCACTGTTGTCGAGACCAAGTGACTGATCATTATCGATGCCGCCGTCGTTGCTTTTTCTTGACTGGTCACCACCTAATGTCGGGTCAATCTTCATCATAGCTTTGTAGAGCGTGACGAGAGCGCGCTCAATTCCCTCGAGGCCGTTGAGGTTCTCAAGAGGTGCTCCTCGAAGGGCGCCAAGATCGTTCGATGTGATTGCCGTGGTTTCCAGCAACGACTCTAGCTCTTTTCTCAAGGTCTTCTGGTTGGCAGTCTGAACCTGCAGACCTTGCCCCTGTGCCTCAATGTATGCGATATCATCCGACAACGTCTGCTCCGGTTAGTCATGCAGCATGTTATAAGGGTCGCTCACAGTTATCAACTTACTGATAGCTCAACGCTGTAAAGTGTCAGAAGATTGTCCAGCTCTTCGCACTCGGCAATAGCGGTATCGATACCGCCCTTGATACCATCGACTCGATCATCGTCCTCCTTAAAACGTGCCAGCCATCCACCGGCTTGAGCCTTGTTGAGCTCACGATCGACGTCAATTCTCAATTCATCCATGTGTCGTGAACGCATTTGCTGACCCGGAACCCAGCCGAAAAAGTCGAGCCACTTCGTGAATTCACTGCTTTTGTTGTTCATTATTGATGGGTCGACACCCAGCGTCGCCAGATACCTGGCATCGTTCCCAGCAATGACAAATTTTCGAGTGTCATCCTTGCGCATAGCATCGTCGGTCTTCACAGCCTCAATTTCAGCCGGCTTGACCTCTTTGATTGAGGGCTGCAGGCTTGCAGGGCGACTCGAGTTGGGCACAGTGATCTTGACCTCTGGCAACGGAGGTACTGCGTCAGCGGCTGGAGTGGGCTCGGCAACCTGCGTCTTGTCGGCATCGGAGGATTTTGGTCGTGGAGGCGGCTGAAAGACGCCTGTGATTCCGTCGGACCCGTCCTCGCTTGATTTGGTAGCAGCGAGACGCAAACGTTCTCCTGCACCACCCGGCCGCGGCTTAAAGGCATTGGCTGCACTGGCAGCTTTCCAAAACGCGCCTGCAATTTCGCCCTTGGACTTCTTCGATTTGATCATGGGGCCAAGGCCTGGGCGGGACTCCTCGTCATCGACTGCGTTGTCCACTGAAGATGGATCCGGCGGGGGCTCTGGTACCGCCACAGGAGCAGCACTGGAAACCGTTGATACAGAGCCGTTTCGAGGAGGCTTCAGATCTCCTGGGCCGTCGTTGGACGGCGGGGGTGCAGCTTCTGAAGCTGCTGGTGTTACGGGTCGATCCTTGAATGACCCGGGCGTGACTGGCCGTTCTTTGTACGAGTTTGACTCTGACCTTTGCGATATTGAAGGCTTCCTGGGCGACATCCTATCAACGCTTCTAGGAGGAGGGGCGACGGGATCGCGTCGCATGCTTGGGCTCATCAATGGCGCGGGTACCAAATCCTTGTCAGCAATACCCTGGGGCCGCAAAGGATCCATCGGTGGGCGCTTTCGTTCGGGCGGTCTCTCGTCTTGTGTTTGCGGTTGTATTGTTGGCACTTGTTCTGCAGTATCACCGTATCTTCCGAAGGCCCCTGGCCCTGGCTGGCCATTTCTGGATCTTGGCGGCAGGCTAGAGGCATCATCGCTCCTCGTCGCAAAGGACGCAGCGACAGACTCTTGGCTTTTGTTGGCACTGGCAAGTCGGTTGAAGGCTGGTTGGTTTTGCGATATCGACGAGTTGACGCTACCACTCGGCGAATTCGTGCCGTTCTGCATATAAGGCGATCGACGGGCGGGAGGCGGCACAGCGGTCTGCTGAAGGGAATAGTTCGATGCAGCAGCAGCATTCGTGGATATCGTTGAAGAGGAGGCTGAAAATCCGCTAACATTGCTGGACACACCTTCTGGCATCGGTGGGCGGCTCGGGCCCTGCTGCTGATCGGAAGTTGTGGGACGCGACGGTGGTTGCCCTGGATTCTGAAGCGGCGGGGGTCGCCCAAGGCCTTGTTGCTGGTCTGAAGTAGTAGGGCGCGACGGTGGCTGTCCTTGATGTTGCTGCGGTGGTGGCGGTCGTCTGCCGCCACCCAGAACCTGATCCAATTCTCGCTGATCAAAGCCCGTCAACTCGGGCGTCTTTCCTCCTGTATACTTCCCGAAGATCTTGATCAAGCTTGCTATGAAGAACTTCTTCTCCTTGTCGGATTGGGCGTTCCAGAAGTAGGGCTTGCCGATAGTCACAGTGAACCCAGTATCGCCTGCCCATTCTCGATTCTGCGCAGTTGCCGTCGGGCCGGTGAAGGATTCCACGGTGGTCAGGTCGTCGAGGTTCCAGGTCTTGCCGATCGAAAAGGTACCATTCGTGTTCTCCTTCGACTTGTGCATCCGTACGCGGCCAGACTTGCGCACCGCGACAATGATGATTCGTGGTTTCTCTGCATTCTGTCCGCGTGCTTGGGGGGGAGGTGGTGAGGTCGGGTAGGATGAGTATTCGGTGATTCGCACGTGGGTTATGTAGGTTTCGAGGACTGCGGACGTTAGCTGGACGACAATGGCTGCGGTGCTGGTAGAAACGAGAACGTACGGGAGCCGTCGACATCCTTCTTGCTGAAACAGCTCTCGATTATGCGCCGTTTCTCGTCCTCGAACCGCATCGCCCTGGCGTCCATGGTTGCGGTTGACGGCGTTGACGATTGGGGCGACGGGTATGTTGGAGTCGGGGTTCGAGGTCCAGGACGATGGACGTGTCGGCCCCTTTGGCTCTGGAACGAGCTGGAGCTTTGGGTGTTGGTGCATTGGGTTGACGTATCGCGTCGCAGACAGAGTGCATGCCCCTTAGTCAGCAGCCAAACCTCCTTAACACTCTGCGACAAGCACTATCATGACACTCTCCGTGCTCAACACCATTCTAGGAGAGAAGAAATGTGCAATCATCCAAAGACGATGCTGTGGTTTCTATTTTCTTAGCATTCATCATCCATCCGATACCAATGCGCATCGCCATGCAAGGAGATCGAGACTTGTATCTTGACTATACCATCTTCACCACCGATTGACAAGCCCTCGCATCAACATGTCAGAACATGCTGTCTACCTTACGCAACATGGAAAATTCAAATTTCCGCCTGGTTTCACTGCAACTCGCTGTCTTGCCTTTTCACAGATGCCCAAGCAATGTAGTGTCAGTCCCATGCCCTCTCCCTCCTGCAGTTTCGTGACATTCGACGTCGAAAATGCTAATCGCCTATCTACTTAGGTACCTAACTAACAATTTAATATGACCAGTCAAGCCATTATTGCTATCGACGGTTGATGCCCGTGTTAGTGAGCACCAGCTCGATGATGACCCATGCGCTCTCCGCGTGCTGACTCCTATTTTTAATCCTCGTAATATATATTATCTAC